CCCTCAAAATACTCCCCCTTGCTTCGAACACACTTATCCCATCATCTTGCCACTATCTGAAGCAGTTCTGGAAGTCCTCTTTAGTGAGTGTCATTTGGTGGGCTACAGTGGCTGCCTCGATGTCCCTAATCGATTCATGATTTACGGCAGACTTTATAGCACACCTTCTTTCAACCGTAGTTCACAACCGACTGACTGCACCGAACAAGTTGAAAAGAGTCACACACTGTTGCCATGGTTCGATGCACCACTTCTTGTTTTGAAGGTCCCTGCCGTTCCGTTGGATGGCACTCGGCAGCAGCATTCACCATATCAAAGTCAGGATTAGTATGTGATCGCAGTATGCAAGGAACAACCTTGCATACTGCGATCACATACTAATCCTGACTTTGCTGCACCGCACTTTGAGATTGAAGGGTGGAGCTAGGAGGCAACCAATGGCACTACCTGCAGATGTCACTACAGGAAGTTCCCTTGGGACGCACAAAGTCACTTGGTGTTGTTGCGATCACATGTTGTTATATTTTTTTTTTAAACATTACATTTTTTTATTTTATAGAAAGACTGAAAATAAAGCCCATTGAATACATTCTTTTTTTACAATTTTTATGAAATAAAATGAATATTTATTTTCGCACTGGTATAGGCAGGGTTTCTGTAGATTGGCAGCTAGAAGGGGAGAAGCAGATGCTGTCAGTCACCCAGATGTAGCTGCTCCACAAGCTGCTGAAGACTGTCATGTGGGGAGTTAGCTGGGGAAAACTGTTAGTCAACCTGCTAGAGTCGCCCTAGAAGCCAAGTGTCACATGGGGTGGTTTCCAGAGGAGCAAAGAGCAGGATCATGGCTTCTTCACAGGGGAAAACCAATACATGTGCACGGAGACTTGCAAGACAAAGAAAGTAGTCACCAGCACACCGAGGGTCCAATTTATCATTCCATCTTTAATCAACGTCTAGATAAACATGGTATCACATGCAACCTTTCGGAAACTACTGAGGCCCCTTCATCAAGCAAAACTACTGTATGTTTTGTTTGATGAAGGGACCGCAGTAGGTTTGTCTTTACGTCTAGAAATTGAATAAAGATGGAATGATAAATTGGACCCTCAGTCTGCTGGTGACTAATTTCACACCTGTATGCTGTGCTGCTGTGTGTTGGGAAAAATAGTATAGGTGTTTTGGCGAATCAACGTACGTTTTTGGCCCCATAAACGGCAATGGCAGCAAATTAAAATGTAACAAGCTCTCTGAAAGGACATTAAACCATATTTGGCCTACTGAAGACAGTGGGGCATGCCATAACCATTGTATTGGTTATTATGCCAGCAAAGCAAAGATCATAGGATGGTACCGAATCCTGAAAGGCAGGAGTGGCACATATTTATATTTAATAATGTACTCCTGTTACCCAAAGAGAAGTATAGCCAAAAACAGATTAGCTTTACTTCTCTTTTAGCTTTGCTTCTTGCAAACACAGGAAATCAGTAGCTTAACATTACTTCCTGTATGCGCACTCTGTGCACCTGCATTTCATGTCCTTTGTGTGCAAGATATCAGTGACTCCTGAAAATGTATGTACTGTGGATGAGCTAGTGTCCTCTACTTCACTAACAGAGTTATTATATATAACTCTGAATATGAACACTAAGGAGATCTAATTAGAATATGCCAATAAATTGCATGAAGAATATATTTCTGTTTACTTGATATAGGTTGTTGCAAATGCTCTATGTACTGTTTCTAAATAAAACCTACTGTGTCAATGAGCTGTCCTACATTATAGAGCGAGCAAGAGAGAGAGAGCCCTTAGCATCAGTCAGCTGACAACTGAGACTAATAATGAGCTAGATAGATTATATATATATATATATACACACACACATATATATACTGTATACACACACCCACACACATATATAGTTTAAATATATTTAGTACTCTCATTATGTCTTCTTCATATATTAACCCTTTTGCTGCCGCCAACTGGAGTCTGCTGACTACCACATGTGCGCCTGCCCTCCTCCCCGCCTGACTCCCATCCCTGCCATGTATCCTGAGCTCCGCTGCTCCTTCTGCGGAAGACCAGAAATATGTGATCACTAATCTCTCTTAAGTGAACATAGAAGCAACAATGATTTAATCACTTCCAAGCTCCAGTTTCAGAGCTGTGCTTGGATTTGTGCTTGATCAGCTTCAAGGGTGACATTAGAGATCTAATAGGTGTCTAATTTTGAAGCTTTCCATGTTTGGTATCTATTTACTCAGCTCAGCCTCATCCTTTATTTTACCAAGAAATTGGGTAATATGGGTCTATTTTACCAAGAATTGGGTCTATGTATTAAAAATTACCTAAATGTATTTATTTATATATTGAGTTTGATAAACAGTTGCACTAATATCATGTGACATAAAAAATGCAATTATATGCTACAGGGTCTCTGCTTTCAGAAAAAATATAATTCTCGTGGGTTTTAAGTCATCTTCAGGCTTAAAATGTAAATTTTAACATTGTGTGCAAAAATGTATAAACTAATCTGACAGCAAAAGGGTTACATTTTTGCCATTTTTCTGATTGGATATGGTGTGTCCTGAGGCATCTGTGGGATGAGTGAACTCTTTTTGGGTGCTCAGTCCTGTATCTATTTCCAACTGCCTATACACAACCGTCAGACTGGTTCCATAGACATTATTGAGTCATTAGGCTTCATGGAAACCCATTCCTTTACCTGGGACAGGCATGCAAAGGTCATTAATTCAAACCTTATTGAACCCAGTTTGTCGGTGTACTAGGCAGCCAATAACTAACTTGCTCAGAAGGAGATTGGCAATGACTGCCTTCTCATAGGTGTCTCTTGAAAAAGCTTTGCCCTAAAGTGCATGTACAGCAAACACTTTCCTTTTTTTACTTTTGGAAAGAGTGGGGAAGGGTTACAAATCCTTGCCATGTTTTACTGTTATATGTGGCTCCATTAGAAAGATTTTCCTGCATTCCCTTTACAGGTGACAACGGTTTCCCCAGACAGGAAGTGAGGTAAAATCTCCAACAGAAACACAGACAGAAATAAAAATGTTTTATCCAGTAGAGGATTGGAAGACTGTTAGATTTTTATTGCGGTCTGTATCCCTGTAGTAGAATTTCTCTCACGTCCTGTCTGGTGAAACCTCTGTCACAGGGCCAGAAAGTGAGGGGAAATATCTCTAATGGAGCCCCAGATAGCAGAAAGAAAACAACAAGGTTTTATTAGTTGAATATTGTCATATACAATTAAATGCATTTAAAGTACATTGGATATTAAACCATTTAGGGATATATTCTAAATCAATAAGGATAGGACCCCTCAAGCATTTAGAAAAGAATATGCTGTATGGGGCAACCCAGGTCCAATCAGGTAGTATGCACATACCGGGGGGAAAAAAATCACCACATGAATTAAATAGTGTACAACATGCACTATAATATAAAAAAGAAGCATAAAAAAGGAAAAAAAGCCATTGGGACATAAAGAAATCATTTGAATGGGTCTGCCCACTATCCCGAAATTAGAAATTATCCCTTTATTTTTGCGATATGTAATAGAATAAGACATACTAAATATTCTAAAAAAAGGTTCTACTAGTTTTGCGCTTTGGTTCAGTTGAAGGCTTTTGCATTCCTTTAGTTCTTTCTCACCACAATCTTCAGTTACTCTTTCTTATAGAAGTTTGATTGAAGTCTGCCTTTAGTAGAGTTACATTAATGGTTGGATATTATGAGCACTTCACTGGCTGGTTTCACCTGTTGGCTGGGACTCTTAAACAATGTAGTTCTCCTTCTCTAGTTAGAAGAATGCAGAGCAAGTAAAAGGGTTGTGGTCCTTTAGGCCCCATTCACACGTAGCGACATACCTTTTGCAGCGGCCGGGATAGCGCGACTTTTGGGGCGACGATCCTGCGACGGTAGCGCGACCTTCTCCGTCGGGCTCCATTAGAAAAAAGCAAAATCCGCCGAAAAAAGGATGCTGTAAAAGCGACTTGCGACCGCGACGAGCGACATGGAGCTAAGACAGCTCCATTGAATATCATTAGCTGGCGATAAATCGCTACGTGTGAATGGGGCCTAAAACAAGCACTGGGTAAGGCAGAATATTCCAATTTGACATTTTCTGGAGAGTAATTTATTTTTTATTCCTGACTGACTTGTACCCATTGCTCTACAACAGACAACACCTAAAAATGTTCAAGTCCAATTAAACTTTCAGTTTAAGGCCTTATTCACACGGCGTTAAACAGGATGGACCATGTCTGCATCTGAGCCACGGACACCCGGCCCCTCACGGATATGCAGTTCGGGTGTGCGTATGACAGCGTACGGCCGCGTCCTCCCATAGGCAAGAACGGGCTGCTGCGTGCAATCTCACACAGCACCTGTCCTGGGAATGGTCCGATACTGGCATGCACGCCGCATTGGACGTGTACGGCCCGAGTTAACGCAGCGTGAATGAGGCCTTAAATCAGCAAATTAATTTTCAGGTGCATCAAAACAAAAAGGTATGCAAAGTCTTGTTGTCCAAGTAGAAAAGCCTGTCCTTTGTCAGCACGCTGGAGTGAAGATCCCTTGCTATTGTGTAGAATCAGTGGTCTCTCTGCAGAAGTCTGACACTAGCCTTACTGAATAAGACCTATACCTCTACAATCAGCAATGCTCATGCTTCCTGCTGATTGGAGAGCTCAAGTTCTGACTCAACAGGGGCATGTCAGACCTCTACAAAGGGATCACGGCTTGCACAGAAAGTATAGGTCAAACTCTACAGCATGCTGGCAGGGAGCAGGCTTCTTTACTCAGGCTGTGACCGCTTTCTAAAGAGCAAGACTTTAAACACCTGGAATGTATTTAGCTGATAGAAGCTAAACATTCAGTTGGGCTTTAAGCAGAAGTATGAAAACTATATTTTCATAAAAAAGGCATAAGAATTTTATAAATATATAATAAATCCAGTATTTAAAATATGCAGTATACTCACTGTCTGAAAGCAGCCATTGTATTTTCTAGATTTTCTCCAGCACCTTAAAAAAAATATAAAGATATTAGTTTGACCAGCAA